TTTGCGGATTCTCGGAAGACTTGTGCTGAATCACCTCGCGTTATCAGCCTGCCACAACGCCCCTACACAAACTGTTATATCTGTCTAGCAGCGAAAACTGTGGGCAGGTTATTAAGGTCACCCTGTTTGTTTTCATGGCTGCTCTTATACACCCGCGTGCACAGGAGGAAGAGGAGGAGGACGACGACGAGCCCAAAGTCTTGGACTGGATGAAGGCAGCTTGACTGCCATGACCCGCGCTTGTGCACGACGCACCCGCCACAATCAGATCTTGAGCACGAAGCCACCGGAAGCAAGTGGCCTCAGTAGTTTATACATATATATATATATGTATTTACTTTTTTTTTATGTATATAGGGGTCTCAATAATTGCCTATACTATTTTGGGGGGTTCCTTATTATGTTTATGCTATATGTAATGGCCCCCAAGCCCAAACCCTATTCCAATAATTGTGGCCCCTCTATTACGCCACCCATGCTGATTTTCGGCATAAACACCGCCTGTCTCTCCTCGACTTGCGCTCAATGGCGCAAGCCCGCAATCAATATAATTCGAAAACGTTAAGAGACCACCAGTCCCATTTTCCGAGAGACGATACCTACATTTGGGGCGGCGGGATTCTTCCAAGATTATGTCATGCTTGCGCCACGTCTGGTCCCCACATCTAGTCTAACTCCATGTGAACAACTTGCACTGACCTGTAACGCACATTATGCGGACCTGCATGCTTTATTAGCCCTTCCATGAACAGGAACTACAATAATATGTGTATGCATACATACATATATTTATATATATATATTTATTTATTTATATATATATATGTATCTATATATATATATATGCATGTATGTATGTGTATATATATATATACACACACACAGTTTTACACTTATTTATACACACACACACACACACACATATATATATATATATATATATATATATATTTGTACCTATATATATATATATATATATATATATATATATTGGGGATCCCAATACCAAGGCCCTCAAGAACAGGGCCGATGTCAACGACCCTAAACCTCCAAGTTTATGTGGATAATTCTCTAAATTGGGATCCTTTTAGGGTCCGTTTTTTATATGAGTGCCGCCTTCTTTTGGGATCTTAGATAGGGATCCTAAATTAGCCAGCTGTCCATTTCCGATAGATCCCTTCATCTACCTTTCAATACCCCACCTCTCTTTGAGCCTAAACCCGAAGCCCCTAAACCATTCATCCCTAAACCCTTAAGCCCTAAACCCTTTAAACCCCTTAGCCTTCAACTCTGAGCCCCTAAGCCCGTGTAGACCCTAAACGTCAAACTCAACCTACAAACCCAAAGACTCCCATATCCCTTAACTAAGGAATATACCTTAAACTATAGTAGGATCCCTAATATGATTTAAGGTATATTCCTTAATTAAGGGATATTGGAGTCTCTGGGAAGCCTATGAAGCCGAGGCCCGGGAAGCCTCACCTCTCCTCGCCGAGTCGCTACGGACGATGCCCCGCACTTTCCTGGCCACGTGGGTGAAGTTTTGGTGTTTAGGGGGATTAGAGTTTAGGGGTTCAGGGTTTAGGGTTTAGGGGCTTAGAGTTTAGGGATAAGGGTTTAGGGATTAGGGTTTAGGGGTTAGGGTTAGGGGCCTGGACCCTCAAACAACCCTACATTTTTTGGGTTCCTTAATATGGTTTCTTTATGTAATATCAGTCTTTAAGAAGCTTAGGTTATAATTCTTGCTCAAGGATCTCCGGCGTTTGGGTCTTGCGGTTCTTGGGTTGCCAGGTTTATTTAGAGAGGAGAAGTTTGATGGTTGAGGGGCCCGGGCTAAACTCCAGGGGTTGCAAGGTTTAGGGTTTACCCATAGGCTCCATAGTAGTTCCTTCTTGGGGATCACCTTATAGGAATCTGAATATGATCCCCAAAAGGGAACTCCTATGGAGCCTTTAGGTAGGGGCAAGGTTTTGGTTTGGGGTTTGAGACTTCGCGTGGAGGGTTGCAGGCTCGTAGAGGCTCAAGGCCCTCGACACTGCTTTACGTATGACTCCAAAATCCCGGCCGTAAGCATTCCATGTTGCAACCTCAGCTTTTAATGCTCTACAACTCTACAATCGTATTAGCTTTAGAAGCCTCTTGCTTCGAAGCTCCAAGCTACCATACCATCCCTGCAAGCCCTGCGCACGCACTGGCCCGACGCCCACAAACCTGAACCCCTAAACCCGACGTTTCAGAAGTCCCACCGTCGATCATCGGAATGTGGGAGTTTCCGAAAATAGGGGACCCTAATATAGTACCTTAAATAGTAGGATCCTCATTATAAGGACCCCAAAATAAGGCACCCTTAATTTTCTGAAACTCCCATGTAAACGGTTGTAAGGATACATTCTAAACCCCAGCCCTGCACCCCAAATCGTTGATGATCTAAGCAACACACTAGGCCCTCCAGCCTTTGTGGGCGTCAGAACCCAAATCCCTCATCCCAGGCGCCCTAAACCTGAAAAACCCTAAGCCCTAAACTAGCGAGGAGGAAAAGGGCCGTTCAAGAAAAACAAAAAAAACCTTAAACCCGAAACCCCTAAACCCAAACTCCCAGGCACCCTAAACCCCTTATGTAGGCCTGGACGAAAGGCAGACATAACAAGGAGCTCAAAAAAACGAAACCCCAAACACCAGGCATATGCAGCTGACGACCTGCTAGCGCCTGACTGCCGGGGCTTCGCCACCCGTCTCCGGAAAGAGGTGGGCGGTGAGGCCAGGTCGGTTCGTCTTTTTGGGTGTGATCTAATACAGGGGCTTTAATAATCACCTATAGTATTGTGGTGGTTCCGTATTATAGTTGTAGTACTAAGGAGCCCAAAACCCTATTCTAATTATTAAGGCCCCTATATTAGGGCCTGACTCAGTTAGCAAAGCATCTTCTTACATCTTTCGATTGTCGCAAATAGTACAATTAACATTGCTAGATCATGCACCTTGAGTCCCCAGTCATAACTATTCTTCCGGATGGTCTCGGCTTCAGTTTGTCCGCTTAGAGTTTCAGGGCTTCATCAGTAGAGGGTGTTGCGATTCCGGGGTTGCAGAGCTTCAGGGGTCCGTGGCACGTGGTACCACGGCGTTGCTCCAAAACCTAACCTTTAATCTTGAAGGTTTTAGTTTTTGGGAAGTAGTTGTAGGTTCATCTGTTTTGGTTCCTTGCAACTCGCGGTGAGCAAGTTTTGCGGGAAGCTTAAGTGAAGTGACCATTAGTGCCCTATAAGAATGTTTTTATACAAATGCTTATAGGAGCAAAAACATGTGGCTCGTGATGCGAGAGTGCACTGCCCACGAAGAACTGGCAGAGCGGCAGCATCCACATGCCTAAGAAATTCTGTGCGCGCATGGCGCTTTACTATACTGAAACCGTGGCAGCTGCCATCAGATACATCACCATGCCCAGATCATCATACACTTCATCGACGCCATCATCACGCGCAAGCTTGAGCTGCCATGTATAGGTCGCTCAAACATTGCATTTGTTCCAACCGAACTGTGAAACACTGTTGGCGTATGCTGGCATATTCGAGGCAATCGTTTGATAGTTGTTCTTAGTGATTTCAGTGTTCTGGTAATCTTTGCCATTTTGCACTCTGTGCACTGGTGTCAACTATGTGGGGATAGTTCTGTTTGGGGCGATGCGATGGTTGTGGCTTTTGACGGTGTCGGAGATGATGATGCTGACAGTGATGTCGATGATGACAGTCGTGTCGCTGCTGCCGCCGCTGCCCCTGTGGCGACCGCTGCTGCTGCTGTTGCGATGCTGATGTGTATATATAGTATAATCAGATACCCCAAAACCCTATTCTAATGATTAAGGCCCCTATCTTAATTAAACCCGGAGAATGACGGAGGTTCAGCGTTCGCGCTATGCCTCCTGAGATTCCAGCCTGCAATCTCGTGCCCTTGCATTGCGAGACTCTTGATGATGGCACGGCGGGGGAGAGAGAGAGAGAGAGAGAGAGAGAGAGAGAGAGAGAGAACTTAAATTAAGCCCCCTCAAGCCTGGGGAAAGCAAAGAAACTTAAGCCCCCTACATGCAACGAGCTCCAGAAGAAGCCGCCCACAGGCAGTGCACGAGCTAGAGCTGCCAGCCCCGCTGGGGCCTGGTTTCGCCAAGGAGTTGTAGAGTTTAGGTGTTTAGGGTTTAGAGCTTAGGGTTTAGGCTGAAGGAAATCTCTGGTTTTGGCCCGTTCGGCCTAGATGTTCGATGACTTTTTTTTTTGCGATTTCAACTTGGAGTTTTCTGCCTTTTCGAGTTCAGGCTTTCTGGGATGTCGAATTAAGGCTTCGCGAGTTACGGGCTGCAGGTCCTGTAATTAAGCTGCGTGTTCGATTTGCTGATATATGGGAGTTTCCAACAATTCGGGGTACCTTATTTTGGAGTCCTTGAAATTAAGGATCCGACTATTTAAGGGTGCTATATTAGGATCCCCTATTCTCGGAAACTCCCATATATTGATACTAGCTGGTAAGGCCGATTTTTCTGTGGGAGATAGTCAGGCGCATAGGCCTTGTGGGCATTACAGGTTGGGCTCTATGCGTTTCGGTTTTGTGCATATGCCCAACGGGCCCTTATAAGTACCTATAGAGTAGAAAGTATGCTTTCTATAGTAGGAATAACATATTGATGGTTTGGGTAAGTATCCCCATATCGTTACTTAGGACCTTTTGGGATAAGTCTCTGTGGTTCACGCTCTGCTGTTTTGGGCTTGATGGATTTCGGGTTTCTAGGTTTCGGACTCCAGAGATTTCCGACTTCCGTGCTTAGGTGTGCCGCCTCAGTTTTCTGGCTCGCGAGCCTGAAGATACTTTTTCGAGACTGAACACCCACCAGTTTCTTCTGGGTTGTGCTTTGGGATAATTTTAAATTTCCCCTATTTCCTTAGAAAGGGAACCTATTCATGGATAATTTTCAAAGGGTTTAAAGCACAACCCAGCCTTGCATGTGCCCGGACCAGTCGAGAATCCATGACGGCGAAGGGCAGAGCTGTCATCTTCTTCTGCCTCATCGCTCTGGCTGGCGCGATGCTCCTTGGCACCGGAAGCCCTTACCTAAACCTGTGAGTATTGCGCCTGCTTTCTGCCGCTTAGGGCTTCGAGTTTAGGGGTTTGGGGTTTTTACGGTCAAGGGCTTTGGGTTTAGTGGGTTTATAGAAACCTCCAAAAGTAGGTAAAATAATGGCCCAACACCCTCAAAAGGCTATTATTCTACATACTGTTGGGGTCCGGGTAAGGCCATTACACAATTACCGAAACTTGTTTCTCTGCTGGGTCCTAGCGCAGTCCAGTTCTTTGAAGCTGCGACACGACATTTCCAATCCGAGGTTTAAAAAGACAGCGAGGCAGCTGGTGATTTCTGGTGAGCACAGCCAGAGATCTAGCGTCTCTGGGAATGGGAATCGAAGCCGTCTGGACTCAGGTGGAAACCTTAGAAACTTCGGCAGCACCGGGGCCACTGGCATTCTCAGAGCCGCAGAGACTCCAGTGACCCCGGAACTGCTGGCTGCGCAGCCGCTGAAGTGGATACACATACCAAAGTGTGGGACTTCTTTGTTGAATGCGTTGATCCATCTTCCCGGTGTTTGCCCTGGGGTAGACGACTCTTTCCAAGTGAGCTCCGACGTACTTGGGTTTCACTTCGAACTTCATTTCGACCGTAAATGCCGGCACGTCTGCGATGGCACGAAGTTCCTGGGCTTTGGAGTACCATACTCTAATACTTTTTTTGGACCTGTTAGTTACAAGGAACCAATTATGAAAAAAACAAAGTCTATACTTTTTTCTCCCAGGTTACTTCAAAGCCCAGGTTCTTGTGCCTTACAAAATCCAATGGAACCAATGGGCCGCAGTACAATACACATATGGGTATCGGCGGCGAGTACGAGCTCCTCAGAGGCGTACAAGCCTTCATAGGTCTTTGGGGTTTTGGGTTTAGGTTGGATACTGCCCCCACTCAGTAACAGTTGGATAATTTTCATAATATAGATATATTAGGCCCTTAAGAATAGCCCTATTGTAGATTGTTAGTGTATGGGGGCAGTATCCAAGGTATAGGGTTCAGGGTTTAGGGTTCAGGTTTCGGGGCTTCGGGTCCTGGCATATGCATAGTCCAGGTGTAAAAGGGTTCAGGTTTTAGGGTTTAGGGTTCTGTCAAGACACCTGGAAACCGGAAAACAGTATTCCTCTTCACCTACGCCCCGAAAGTGACGACTCCGACCCTGACATTGTTCGGACAGTTAGGAGCTGTACCCAGATCGACTGCAGTATTGCCTAAAACATGCAGCACACGCCCCCCCCCCACACACACACACACGTACATGAGTACATATGTATGTATACATTTACAACCATATATATATATATATATATATATATATGGTCACCCCCCCCCATGACAGACCATCCCATTCAAAACATCGCTCCCACCGGCGTGTTCGTGCTTTTTCCGGGTCATCGAGTTTGAGCCCTCCGAACGTATCTGTGGAACCACCAAAAGACTGAGACCCGTTCAGTCGTAGCGCATGGTCTGTGATCCGGGGGAGGTGGCACTCAGCTTTCAAAAACTCAATTCCAAAATTTTCAAAATTCTCTCCCCTAACTTTCCGGATTTCCAAAATTTCCGAAATTTCCAAAATTTCCAAAAAGTCCGCCCTTATGTTTTGGAAAAATCCTGTCGGCTAGGTCGGGCCGTTTTGGAAATTTTGGAAATTTTGGAAATTTCGGAAATTTCGGAAATTTTGGAAATTTTGGAAATTTTGGAAATTTTGGAAATTTTGGAAATTTTGGAATTTTTGGAATTTTTGGAAATTTTGGAAATTTTGGAGATTTCGGAGATTTTGGAAATTTTGGAAATTTTGGAACTTCTGGAATTGATTTTCAATGGGCTGATTGTGACCCATCGGATGACAGACCATGCACTACGACTCACTTGCAAAGGCAAGGTCTGTTTAGACGATTGTCAGTGTTTAATCGATTTTTCTAAATTGGTACTCCTACGAATACTATTACCAATACTCATTCTGACATTGATCATTTGCTGACTGCCCAAGCTAACACCAGCATTAACACTAATATTTACACTTTTTTAAGCCAATACGAATAGGCACCATACAAATAACAAATACTAATAATGATTAATACTGACGTTCATACTCCTACTCATATCAATAATTATGCCCATATTGGTAGTAGTGTATTTTAATTCCAATACTAATACACACCTGCATATACCAATGTACATAAATATACATACCACTAAATTAAAGTACAAATACATTAGCTCATGCATGTATTTATCTGTTAGTATTTTCATATAATCAGGAGTAATACTAATATAAGACAAACGTTCATGCGAATACATAACCTCATTTTAATATTAGCACTCGCACTAGCACTATTACTAATACCAATCACACTGTTTATACCAACACCAAGATTTACATAAGTATTGATACTCCCACGGATACTACTGCCTATACTCTTATGCTGTTAACAGTAATGCTGTCACCAATACTAATACTGACATTGATAACTTGCTGAATATTCAAGATAATGCCAGTATTAATACCATTATTAACACTTATACTAAGGCTAATGCGACTATGGATAATCCTAATACGAATATTAACATTAATATTCATATTCATATTGATGTGAAGACTAATACCATTACAAAAGACACGTGCATATGCTAATGCACACCAGAACACATACCATTAACTTAAAATGCCGATATGTACCAATGCATTCATGTACTGATGTTTTAGGACACGCATATACCCATATACCAATGTAACAATACACTACTTGTTAATGTGTGAATATACTATACTAGTATGCTACTATACTAGTATGCGACTACTGTAATATGCAAGTATACCGACGTGGCAGGTTAGTGTACTAATATGACAACATACTGATACACTTATAAATCTTCAGACAATACACGTATATTGCATATACTAGTATACTAATACACTAATGTACGAATATACTGGTATGTTAAGATACTAATGTATTAATACAGCAATATACTAGTTGACTCATGCATGAGTTGTACTAAAGTATTAAATCTACGAATATGCAAGTATACAAATATGTTGCCTCTCGAACACATCAATGTGTTGATATACTAACCTGCTGATATACGAAACTATCAGAATAGTAACATATCGAAACTAACTCTAATTTTGATACCAATACTAGCACCTCTGCCATTATTAACTGATATTAAACCCAGCATGAAGACTGATACTAATTCTAGCAGTGGTACTATTACTGGCATTGACACTGGCACTAACACTAAGACTAAAACGAAGATGAGCACTAACATTAATGTATACTTACTACTGTCGATATATACATACATATATATATATACATACTTACAGTAAACACTAATACTATTGCTGATACTAATACTAATACCAATATTAATACTCATACTCATCCTATATCAATGCTACCACAAAACTCATAACTCACGTGTCGCGCATCTGGTCCATGCGTCCTCAGTACATGGCATGTTAAAAGTATACTTGGTATATGTACTGTAAAGGATTTGCTTTACAGATTGTCGTCATGTGTGGTGTGTTTAGATGCAATATCTCAGCCTAGTCACCGAACGAGAGTACACTATCACAAGGGCATGGTCTGTCAACGGGGGGGGGGTGAGCATATATATATATATATATACACGCACACATTGCATTGCTACATTGTCTTAGCATGTGGAAGAAGGAATAGAATACATGAACACCCATGTACCGACATGCACGTATGCATATCACTTATGTACAAGGTCACGTGTATGCTTTGTCTTGCCATGCGTATGGTTCCTTATAACCAGACAGGCAGGTAGGCAGGCAGACAGACAGACAAAGAGAGAGTGATGGTAACCTCTACACCTTAACCCTGGCGAAAGAAAGAGAGAGAGACCGCCTTTTCGGTCGAACACAATCATCAAACCTTTCACTCCCCTCTAACAGCCCGTAAAAAGCGGGCGGGCCCTAGTGCCCGGGGGGCTTAACTCGCCCCTTAAGCCTGGGAGAAGAAGAGAGACAGAGAGAGAGAGACAGAGAGAGATAGAGATAGAGATAGACAGAGTTTACACTTTGCGTCTTTGGAAACATGCTCCAGCACATCTAGTACCTCCAGGAGGTACACAGAGACGGGTCAACATGCATGGACCTCTACATACATCCGTGAAGACAACTTTATCGTGCGTGTGCACATAGATGCAATTGGGCCAGGGTCTTATACGCAGGCCACATCGTGACCATGTTCCGAGATCCGATACAGCGCATCTTCTCTGCCTGGACCGACCCCGTGTTTTCGCACGGAGCTGGGCATGAAAGCTTCCTCGAATATGTGCATTCAGAGGCGCATGCTTTGACATGTCAGATCATGGGAGATGGGATCATGGATCCACTGCCAAAGTTCTGCAAGAATATGACCGAAGCAGATGCAAGACTGGCACTGGTCAGGATTCGGGAAGGCTTCGCATTTGCTGGGATTGTGGAGGAGCTATATGTAGTTGAACGTTTTTCTTTCCAAAACACAGTGGAAACCGTAAGAGCTCGTAGCTTGCGTCGAGAAAATAGTCTTAATTACACACGCACCACATTGCAAAAAGTGCCGCCGACAGCCGCGAGGAATGGGACCTCTCCATCTGCCTCTTCCACCGTATCTTTGTCATATTTGGGTAACATTTTTATTTCAAAAGGTACTTAAACCCAATAATTAGGGAATATGCAAATATTCTTAATACCATCCCACCCATCTCCTAGGTATGTTTGGGGGAGATTGTCTCCACTCGGAGTTCATGGACAGCAGGCCGACGTTTCCTGGAGAGACGACTTACCACAGGTACGACACGTCTGAGCTTGGAGGGTATGATGACCCAGTCGACCGACTCCTCTACAACGGAGCCAAGGACTCAAGTTGACTTCCACATCTCTTTGCAAGCCTCTGAAATCAATTTTACTAGTGCTAACCAGTTGCTAACCTGCAACCCTAAACCCAAGAGTCTAGACATTGCTGCCCAGGCCTTCAGAAGGGTTCGATCGAGGTTCCAGCTAGCTGTCTACGTCGTGCATCCCTGCAAGAGGTGACCGAAAGTCCAGTGGGTCAGACAAGTGGATGAGAGTCTAAACCCGCTATATGGGAGGTTTTCGAGGGTTTTCGAAAGAAAGCTTACGCAAGGTCTTCTAAGAGCAGTGCCCTTTTGCCCGATTTTTTTGGACCCCCTCACCAAAACAGAATAATCAGTAGGTCAGTAGGAAAAAGGATACCCTTTTTACAAAGGGGCTACTCAGAAACCTAGTCTTTATACAATTGTGCAGAAGCTGTAAAGGTTTTGTAAGGGTTTTTCGGATATTGTGTATCCCGTTGATCATAATTTTCTGGTCCCTTTTGCCCACCAGGAGCTCTTCTTTGAGAAGCTGAGGGAATACAATGTGTCCCACGAGTCGTGTCAGCCGTGCTATGCACAGGCACAGCTGCAGAAAACTTGAGAGTCTGACCCAAAACGCCTGAAAAGTACGTCACTCATCGTCACTCTATATAAGCCTTTAGCAAAGCCTTATGTAAACCCTTCCAAACCCTTGCGGCCCATGCAAATCCGAAGTGCTCATGTTGATCAGTATGAGAAGTTCAGCAGTGCAGAAGGATATTCCCATCCAGTTCCAGTTCACTTACCTTGGACTGTGCTCCCATCAAAACCATGAAGATCATGACCAAGGATGCAGGGGCTTGAGGTACAGGGAAGAACCCGAACCCTAAACAAGTGTCGGCTCGAAGCTTATGTGACCATAGCTTTAACGAGTGACACGGCTTGGCCATGGAAATCTCTAAAGGTTTCTGCGCAGAATAACAGCCTTCACCCCACTGGCGACATTTGAAGCCTCGGGATGTTGCTTACAGTTTCGTTGAAGCAGGGTTCTGATGTCAGGCTTAGGCGTTCCAGGTATGCGTTATCCTGAAGCAGCATATAGGAGTTTCCGAATTAGGGGATCCTATTATAATTAGTACCCTAAATAGTAGGATCCTTATTATCAGGACCGCCAAATAAGGTACCCCTGAGTTTGGGAAACTCTAAACCCTTCTGGAGACGGACACAAGAAACCATTATAGTGCCTTTAAAGTCACCCTTTAAAGGAACCCTGAGGTACCCCCTAAATTTCGGAAACTCCCATAGAGTATAGCAGATGGGAAATCGAGGAGGCATCGTACTGCCCCAACTAAAGCCTCGAGGGTTTATTGCGCATGGGTTTGCTTGTATTTTAAGGTTTAGACCCTGGATGCAGAAAGGGTTTAGGGTGTACAGGGTTTATGAGGTTTAAGTTTCGGGTGTAGCCTCGGTCACATCCTCAGCCTTCATCTTCCATTTCCTACCCAACCTTGGCTCCAAAACCAAACTCAAAAAAGTGCAGACAGAGATAGTCACCGCGTCCGCGGAGCGCGTGCTTGCGATAGCAAAAGTGCTGCGCCTGCCGGGCTCGGGCTTCGATACTTGGAGGTTCATGGGTGGTCATAGGGTGGTTGTCCAAATCATGGCCCTTTTCTGGGTACCCTAGATATTAGGTGCTGTATTATCATAAGGACCCAAAAAGGGATCCTAATTTTGACAACCACCCATAAGTAGGGTTATAAGTAGGGCAACTATGTACTTATAGCCCATATTAGGGACTTATAACCCTACTTATAACTACCCCTGAAGCTCCAAGTACTCTCACCCTGCCATCGTTCTGCACACACAAGCACACAGGACGAGATCCTGATCTGTGCACAGCGGATAAACTCTCAAAGCCCTGCGGAACCGCCAGCTCCATCATCGCTGGTGGGAGAAGCGACTGTCTTGCACGGTCTCGGACCCACGGGTCCCATGTACCGATGTAGTAGAATGTAGGGTTTCCATATTAGGAGTTACAGTACTAACATGACTTAGGGAAGTATCCCCGTAACAGTACCTAGGACCCTTTGGGGGAACAAACTTCGCAGCTAGCAGTAGCTACATGGCCACCATCTTGCAACCATGACTGAACAACCATGTCTTCACTGAAGGCTACCACTGCCCCGAACTGAAATTCAGCCCCATCGACCAGTCCATTGCTCTGGATCTTGCATAGGTGATCACAAAGCCGAATAAGTACCGCTTACGAGGATATCATGTTGAATTACTTTTTTTTAAGAGGCTTCAAAGGGCAAGCCTAGTAGATACTATGCACCCAGGACCTAAAAGATGACAGGCCTGCGAATCTCCAGGCCTAGGTTTCCAGGAAAAGTTAAGTTTATGTGACCATGTCTCATCAAAAGTCCCCAGAGACTCCAATACCCCTTAATTTAAGGAATATACCTTACATTAGAATAGGACCCCTAATATGATTTAAGGTATATATTAAGGAATCTTGGAGTCTCTGGGTCACTCTCTCCCGAGTTTGGCACCTACAACAACGCACTCTCATCGCAGGGCGACTGCAAGCTGCAGTAGGCTTGAGGTTTCGGGGCGTAGCCTTTTGAGCATAGTGTCTGCCTACAGCCGGTGTGGTCAGGATTATCTAGGCTGTAGGACTCAAGCTTGGAAGGAGCTGCGATGCAGAGCCCTCGCCAGTCCAGAACCCTGTAGTGACAGCCACATTTCTTCCGAGGGTCGGATTTCTCGTCTTTTTCGAGGGCCCTAGGCAACACGTCGCCAACGAACCAAGACCCAACACGCAAAGTCCAGAACACATTCAAGCAAACAGCCAGCTCCCCCGACGAGGCCGGAAACACCCGTGAACGACTAAACCCCTAACGGGCCGTAGCACGTATCGTAAAACTTCAACCCTCACCCTGTACCCTTGCAGAGGGTACGGTTTCAAGGAACGCTTTAAAGCTAACTGCCGGTCCTTACATCCTGGCTTACTGAGTAGTACCCTTTTGCCTTTTTACGAAGTAGGAGAAAAAGGGTACGCGTATTATAAAGGGGCTACTCAGGAACCTACCCAGAGGCCCCACAGTAGTTCCTCTTCGCGGCTCATATTTAGAATCCTCTGAGGGGATCCCCAAAAGGAACTACTATGGGGCCTATGGGTAGTATCCCCCTAACATAGTACCCTAAGCAGTAGGATCCTTATTATGAGGACCCCCAAAATAAGGTACCCCTTAATCTTTGGAAACTCTAAACCCCTATAGAGCCCTGTAAAGGAACCCTTATAGTATCTTTAAAGTAATCCTTTAAAGGAACTCTGAGGTACCCCCTAAGTTTCGGAAGCTCCCATATAAAGGGGCTACTCAAGAACCTACCTATAGTCTCCATTGTAGTTCCTTGCTTTGGTTTAGCCAAGTATATACTTAGAATCCTAACCCTAAACCCTACACCCTAAACCCCTAAACCCTAAACCCTAACCCCAAAAAAGGAACTACTATGGGGCCTTTGGGTAGTATCCCTCCAGGATCCCCAGAAGCCCCAAGCCTACGCCGCCCTGGCGGCCGCCGGCGCCTTCGTCTCGGCCATCTGCGGCCAGGCTCGGGACGGATGCCTGGGGGTTTTGTTGCACGATCTGTCTGTCTATCTACCTGGATCTATACCGATCTATGTTTTTATATGTATATGTTTGTATATACACACGTATGTTTACGTGTGTAAACACGTATATATATATATATATATATATACACACATACTTTTATATATGTGTGTGTGCATTTATGGAGAGAGAGGTAAATCTTTAGGTATTTCTTTGTTTATGTGTTTATACATACGGGTACATGTGTTTATCTCGATCTGTATATACACATACATATACTTATGGTATACACACCTTGAATTCTTGCTGATCCGGGTCAATGAGCCCCCAAATCCCTCTACACTAACCTGCCGGGCATTTCGGAGGGATATAGAGTCCTCCAGAAGTTCTCGCAGAAGTGGAAGTCTCCAAGTATGTAAGTCGAGATTGGAGAATGGGCATCAAGAGTGGCTAGTCACTGTGGCCTAGTCGGTGCCCCAGAGAAACTTAAACCCCTTAATCCCCAAACCTAAACTCTGCCCGTACCTACATCTATAGGGTCCTGATTAAGATTCCCTGGTTCTATGTATGTTTAGAAGTTACTGACGTGCCGAAGCAGCTTTAGCAACAACAGCTTGGCTCGATTCGAACACTTAACACTTGCAGGGTAGACAAGCTCAAGGGCAGTGGGGTTGGGTGAACAGTAGGAATACTTTTCCAAGGGTTACTACGAAGCCAAGTAATACTGTGTAGGCTCCTACATGAGTTTGGGGGCTTTGTCTGATGAAAGGTTCCGCCAGATATAGCAGCCGGGTGATGCGAGAGGATTTGTAGATAGGAACTAGATGCTTATTGTGCACCAAAGGCAAGATGGCCATGTTTTGGACCACCTCAGTGTATAGGGCAGAGAAGTCATTGCTTCCCACTGTTAAGCTTCATGCTGACTTGTTCTCCACCTTGCCAAGTTGAGGAATCGAAGGCTGCTTGCCCAGTGGCTGGTGTCACAGTCTCACCTGTTCTCACCGACATTGTCATTAAGAGCATGAGGTTGTAGCGTTCTCGTATACATGCGCCCATATGGAGCCACGCGTGCACATGCAGCATAGCCAGCTGAAATCATGCTATGACCAAAACGAGCCAAGATCTGCTAAAAGTGCGACTTCATACCTAGATCGGATGCTCTGTACCACCGTTGCTTAGTGTACAGATTTGCTTTTGTTCTACCATCTGCCCCTCAAGACTCCTAAACCCTAAACTCCAAACCCCAAACCGTCAACTCTAATCCGTATCGGTAGGAGGGGAAAAATCCGTATCCGTAGCATTTGTTTCACCCTTCCGCTCGACGCGGTCGCTTTCCCTCAGTGGACGGGCGCAGAGCCGGAGCAGGTCCATCACACAAAGGAGCACGTATTGCTTTTTAAACTAGACTTCAGTTAGGACCCAGAGTAAGCCCTTATTCCCTTTTTTGGGGTTCAGGTTCCCTTATAAACCCCCTTTGAACCAAAAAGGGCACCCTTTTTATTACCAGGTTACTCCTAGGTCTAGTCAGGGTTTTTGGGGGTCCAGGGTTTCATCGGCCTCACAGGAGCCCTCAAAGCCTTTAATTCGCGAACTGTTTCGTTCCTGTCCACTTCGGGATTCGTGTTTCGATACTTAGTCTTTTGAATTTTTTTGGTGGAATTTTATGTAACGTTACACACCTGAAATCAGGCCATCAAGAAGCCCCAAATCCAGCAAATCCGACCCCCAGAGGCTCGAGGAGCTCGTGTTATCGATTCTACAGAGCCCTGCAGGATCCAAGTCTTTGAACTTGCGCCTCCATGTTGAATGGACGATCCTTGTCAGAAAGGGCTCCGCAGCTCTACAACCCAACTCCAAACCATGAAAGGTGAAGGCCCTACACCCTGAGCCGGAATCCTAAGCAGGCTTTCCTGGCTGTTCTCCTGGGACACAAATCCCAGCGGCTTTGTGGAAGGAACTCGCAGCTACGAGGCGTTGTCCCAGGGCTGAGGGTAGAGAGCTTTTAA